CGTGGGCTGGTCCATGAGGTCACGAAGAGTCGGAGACGACTGAACGAATGAACAACAACAACTTTATTTGTTTAAGTAAGACAATGGGAACGGTGTGCCTTGAAGCATTAATAGCAAATCTGACCATTCAATTACCACTGCTGTGGTTCCTGAAATGAGATTAATGGTCACTTAGGGAAGGCACGTTCACTTAATGTGAATGGATTGTTTCCCCCAATGAGCTTTTTTCTTCTAATGTTGTGCAGAACCTCATAAAATTGATCAATGAAATATACATATCTATCGGAAGCTCTGAAAACAAAGAATGGAAGGCCAAACTATTTATAAAATATACTGATTTTTCCTTGATAGATTTCTCTTCCTTTTCCTCCCACCCTGGCCCAAATAAGCAAAAGGAGAGGAGGGAGATGATGGAAACCACGACATATAAGAAACAAGTTATGACTGAGGCTGTATACAGTTATTTCTGATGGTACACACTAGCAAAATAGAAGGAATACAAAGGCATTATTTTAAATGGTGAATTACTATCCAATGCAGTTTTCTGAATTGGTGCCTCAAATAACCCCGGGAATAGTATCTGGTTCAACTGATATAATATCCAAGGCCCACTATGCTATTTGGTCACATAAAGCATACAATTCCAAAGGCACCTTTCCTTCTTTCTAACAAGGAAAACAGAATTAGAACAAATTAAATCAATAGCACATAGCTGCCATTTTGTGATAAAAATTATGCTTGAGAAATATTCAACTGATTCTAATTCATGGGTGGGAATTATGTTGCCTTCCAAAGGTTGTAGGACTGCAACTCCCAGAATCCCTGACTATGTTGCCTAGGGATGCTGGGTCTTCCAAACCAATAGCACCTGTATGACTCCTACCTGTCTTACCTAGCAATAAGACTGGAAGTGGGTTTTCTTTTTTGAGAAACTAAACTGAAGGTTATAGTTTCCTTCCTTTTGCTCTTTTTGTATTATAGTAAATTACTAGATAAGTTCCACATTTACTAAGTGTTCCCCTGCGTGCAAAGAGAATTTATTTATTTATTTATTTTGAGTGCTTTTACCCCACCCTTTTCAACCCCCTAGGGGGGACTCAGGGCGGCTTACAAAAGGCACAATTCAATTCCTAACAATTACAACATACAATACACTATACAATACACAAATTTACCATATAATATCACCGTTATAAAGAGAAAGAGAAATATGTTTTAATGAGTACAAAATTCCTCAGAATCTGGGAAAGTTCACATCTTCAACTATTAGTAGTTCCACACAGGCATTATAATGTAGTTTGAAGCTGTCTCAAGGTCAGTCTACAAAATGTGCACCCACAATGCATGCTGAATCAGCCTGACAGAACCAGCATATTAAAAAAAACTCACCAGAAATTCTGGAATATTTCAGAAAATCTTCTGCAGCTGATCAGTGTATATCCCATGCAGAGCTGGAATTCGAGGCCAGGAAATGTGGAGCATTTGTCAGGACAGGGATATCATTGAAGCATTTGAAAAATGTGGAAACACAGCTTGGCAGAAGATAAACAATCCATCAGAGCTGGTCATACTGATGCCCCAAAGTGCATCCCGCCAGACAAGATAAGAAAAAAAATATTCCTGGGTTCATATTAATCCGCAGTTAGCAGATTTTCAAGGCCACTGTTCCAGCCTGGAATCAGTTCCTGGGTTGCTTGTGTAGGCACTCTTCAGCAAAGCTGTTCTCTTTAATTCACTTCCTGTGTAGAACTGCCCAATGTTCCTCCATTCTAATACTTCTAAATTACTACCCTGAACCATAAGTACTTCACTTTCCAGGGGCTCAGGATGACACTTAAACATCTGCCTTTTCTATGGACTAGGGCTAGCCATCAAGTCTGGATATTCTTGAGACACCAGCATTGTCATAATTCTTATTTACCCCTATCTAACTTAGTACTGAAAAGGCACCCAAGAAAGGCAAAGGCAGTATGACATGCTGTCTCTTCCACCTTGAGATTTGCCCCAACTTGTAGGATCCCATCCACATGTTCAAAGAGTTGCATGGGCTGCATTGACTTTTGCTGCATTTACTTTTTTTCTCCGGGACTTTATCACAGAACAATGGCAAACTGGCATTGAAGCAAGACTTCACCAAGCCCAACCTGTTGCCAGTCTGCCACCTATCTGCAATAATCCCATCCCTTGCTATTAATAGAAAAAGACATCATTAGTCACAGATCATGCCATGTTCTTGTCACTTACTTGGTGTGATGAGCCCATTTTGCTTCTGTGTCAGCATGTTAACTCTGAAGTGAGATCAAGGGGTGGGATTCTCCTCCTCTCCCCTTTCCCACACAGTAATTAATTGATTTGAAATTGTATTTTATTTTAAGACTAAGCTATGCTGAGACTGTGAAATAGGCTTTTATTTAAAAAAAACAGAAAAGTGGAGCTGCAGGAGGCAGAGTGACAAGGCTAATCAGAAGAACAGCTGTGGGGTCATGGTTAAGCAAATAGGTGCAGTTGTACAAATGTGAACAGGAGTGATTGTGAGGGTTACCATCTTGTTATGTTACTGATATCTGTTTTCACGTGACTGCCATGGGATAGCAGGTTCATGTGATACGGCCCCTAGTCACTGCTGACTCTCCCCCCTTTTTCAGATACTTGCAGAGCACAAAAATGTAAAAATGTAATTACAGCCTGCAATAACAAAAGTCTAAGGACATGATCTCTCTGCTTTTCGATTCTATTTTTAAAAAACTAACTCAAGGATAAAGGACCTATAGCATACAAAAGAATATAATTATGCAACATATTTTTATGCATTTAGTCATAGTCTTCTGACAGACAATCTTTTCTGTCACTCCTGATTTCTTTCCAAAGCAAACTGTTGTCTTTATGGGATGTTGTCCTAACAGATTTGGTTACACAGGTACATCGAGAGTAACACAAATGGGTTGAAATAGAGAACGTAACTATGAGATATTCAGTCTGTCTAGCACAGAGGCACCAACACCAATTTGGTACTAGATTGCTCTATTTACTGCTGACCCAAGGCAAGGGCAAGATGGTGCACAGCAGCTTCCGAAACATATTACAAAAAGAACTATGGCACCAAATCACAAAGACTTCTTTCTAAAATTCTTTTTTATCTTGCAGCTTGGCAGAAAAGAAAATTCTGATGACAAGGCAGCACAACCAACTAACTCCCTCAGGTTAGTCTTGTTCTACTCGCCTCAAAGCAGCTGTGTTCAAGAAATGAGTACAGTTGCCCAGGGTGTTTTTTATTTGATCCAGGTTAAGACCAATGGGTTCACAGAAATGGCTTAAACAATTGAGAAATAAGGATTGTGCAACTTTCCAGATGTTGTTACCACTCCCATGCTCCCTCATAATTAGCTATTATGGCTAGAATTAATACAAGTTGCAACAATTCCCACATTCTGTCTGTGTTTTAGATGTATCACTTGCTCAATTTCTTTAAAATGGTAGGTAGACATTAACATGCGTGCATGTTTCACAATATAAAACATCGTCCAGATGGACAAAGTTTAAAAGTTAGAGATAAGGGGCTCCATCACCTGGAGGTCCTTAAGCTGGGGGACAGCAGAGAAATTCATTGGGCAGTAGGACAAATCCATTGGGCAGTGTGAGAAACCATCCTTGTGCCCCACATCACCCACATAGCCCCCTTACCCATAACATGGGGGAAATTATCGCTGCCCAGCTTCCCCCTGCTCTGTCCCTGGCTTAGGTAAGAGAACACAAGTAGTTACCCATGACCTGAGGACTTTGTCCTATGATGCTTCCAGGATGAAGTGCCACCAGAAGTAGCCCTGCATCATGTGATGGGCTCTGGCAGAGTCTGTCCTGGCTCTGTCCTGGAAGCATCGTGGGATGGGACAAAAGCCCCATGTGATGGGGTCACCAGACAGAGTAAAACCTCAACATGCTGCTTTTTGTTTGTTTGCTCACTTCTTTATTTGATATACAGTATGACCTCTAAATCCGGGGAAGGGGGGTATATTTCCAGACTTAGTATGAATATGTGAAATTAAGAATAATAAATCAAATGAAGGATTTTTGGCCCAAGAATATCATAGAATCACACTGGAAGATTTAGAAAATGCCTAGAGAGGATGCCACTTTGTTACACTAGATAAAATATCCATTTAAAATCCAGTTTCTGCCTTCTTCAGAATTCTGGGGTTTGTAGTTTAGTGAGGCTTTTAAAGGCTCCTCCCTAAATTACAAATCCCAGAATTCTGCAGGAGGCAAAAACTGGATTTTAAGGGGATTTTTTCTCTAATGTTGGGAACTCTGTTGTAGAGATGGTGCATTTCACCCCAGAGGTATTCTGATGCACTTTTGAGGTGAAATTTAACTGAAAATGTGTCACAGAACTCATTTGAAAATTCTGTTTCCTGTGGCAGGGGTGCTTCACAGCCATTGGTGGGGGGTGGAGGGGTGGGGTAAATGAACTTTGGGAGTTGAGGACTACAAGTTTGTTTTCATTCATAATGCTACTCCAGGAAACATTCGAGGCCATTCCATGACATTTTTGTTTGAATTTCTTAAAAGGTTGGTGTCTAATTATTGCCAAACATTATGTTTGGTGTAACTTGAGGGCTTTGGGAGCTTCAAAAACATTGCATAATGTTGTCAAAAGCAGCTCTTTTGAAGCATTAGACGAAATGCCTCAGGACTAAAGGGAGCAGTGAGAGGAGATTGGTGACACACACTAATTCTACCCTCAACAGATGCTGCCTCTGTCCACTCCATCTCATCAGGAAGGTTTGGAATATACTTCTAGGTGTATTCAAACTCATGCATTTCCACGTAAGGAAGAAACTTCAAGCAAAGTTTCCAATTTCTAAAGCCCCACTGACCATTTAATGCAGTTTGAAGCATTCCAGGTAATGAATGAATATGTTTCTTAAATAAGAGCAACAATAGCTGTCTTCCTGCTTCCTTCTTTCACAAGTGCTTGATTAATGTATAGCAGCTTTACTTACCTGAGGTTGTTGGCACTACTTCAGTTGTGTTTCTGAGCCCAATAAATGAGAACTGATACAGCCTCCAGGACCTTGTATCTCCCACTTCCACAGAACTGCGCTTCCACATGTAGATGATTTCTTCTTTGGGATAACCATCTTCAAAAGAATCAAAATTATAATCCCATCATTTTTTGTATTTATTGGTGTTGTGACATTCACTGCAGGATTTCTCTCCTCTGATTGCACGCAATATTAAATATGAGTGGAACAAAGTCCTTGTAAAAACAACCTCAGAAAAGCAAAGCTGTCTCAAGTTTCTTTCAGTCTTCAGTAGGTTTTGCTTTTCTTGTTTCTTCACAAGCCTCTTCCTAAAACTGTACTGAATTATTGCTTATACAATTTTAAGTTTAAATTTATTATTTAGTTGTACTTAAAAATTATATTTCAGTATGGTAAGTCACAATCAAAGTCAGGGCCAACCCTGTTGAGCACTTTGATGGGAAACCATCCATGAATATCAAGTATTGTAGAATATATTTAAGAGAAAGAAACTGGCAAAACACCTCTTGAGTATTCCTTGCCTAATTAAATTCACGAGGTCACCATACATCAACAAGTGACTTTTGGACATATGTGCACATACAAATATGATAGGTCACATGCAGAACATTCGTACTGTCTCTTTGCAACCTGGTGTTGATCAGATGAATGGGAAAATCACCACCAACAATTCCAAACAGCACAGCAAGGTAGTTCTGATTCAAAATACCTACAGATTCCCAGGCTGTGGGAATTAATTTACATTGATAAATGTTTTACTGCTTGTTTACAATTACCTAACTATGTGCCAGACAGATCTGTACTAAAACTAAAAAATCTGATCGTTTGATTGTCACTACATAAAAACAAAAGTATATATAATTCTAGGATTTTAGTATATATAATTATATATAATTCTAGTATATATAATTCTAGGTAACTAGGATTTTTTGACATCCCCCCATTTTTAGATGAAAATATAATATATTTAATTTTTCACAGAAACACATTTTGCACAAAATATGATGTTTTTGAACAAAACATAACAAAAAATAGCAGTTGTGTTTTTCCCTTTGAAAAATCACATGTGCTTTCAAGGGGATGTCCTGATATGTTGATGCATCATGCATAAGAAAATTTGTCTATATTTTTTTTACATCTCCAACTAAAACTGCAATTAAATATGCAACTACTATGGGGAAGCAAGAGTAACAAATCGCAGGGGCCAATTTACGTCCCTTGAGATGCAGAGACATACTACAAATATGCCCCCAAATGAAAACAGAGCAAAACTGGAAGTTCATTTTTAGTTTAAAAAATAGATGTTATGTTTTTTTTTAATGTTCAGGGGCTACGAGCTATGTGGAAGGTGAGAGGCAATTTGCACTCCCTTTTGCCCAGAAAAAAAGGGGTGGCTGAAAAATCTGAGGTGGTCAAGTGTCATAAAACAGTCTTTGGGAATTACTTGTGGGATCAGAGCCGCATTTCTTCCAACTTGGATCTACCACTTATGATATAACCTTTGACATGCATTCTTTCCATGGAACAGCCACTCTGATGGATTGGTCTTAGAAGCTGATTTTGGAGCTCTGGGGTGTTAAATCACAGTCAGTGTTCAAGCTTACTGAAAATGCTTAGGTCACTATTCCTACCTATGGCTGGATCTGTACTGCTATATAGTACACTTCGAATTCGCATTATATGGTCAGGGTAGACCCATGTGATGCAGTAGAATGCAGTTAAGCTACATTATATTGGTCTACACTGACTCTAAAATGTAGATTCAAATTACATTATATGGCAGTGTAGATCCAGCATATGTAATTTCATAAATTATTGTTTGAAGATAAATGAGATAAACAATGCATAACAAATACACATAACCCTGAGTTTTGAAACAGGCAAGAGTACATATGGAAAGGCTTGGGCAGAAATACAAATAATGTACTATCAATCTAGAAGGTTTCAAGTTGCACGCACTGCTCTAAAGCAAAAGTATCTATGCTAACACTGTACTGGAATTTGTTCATTTATCATTTTCTAACTTTTCATTATCAAATTATGCATAATTAGTTCATGCACCAGCTTTCCTCAACCTGGCATTTTCCTATGCTGTAGACACCAAATCCCATCATTCCTTAACAGTGAATTCATGGTCATACTAACTGGACATTGTGGGAAGTTATACTATATATTTGCTGCTCAGTTTATTTTGAAAATTATATCCTTTTATTTTGTAAAGAAAACTAGTGTTTTGATATTACTACTTACAGCTTGAAAATGCCAAGGGACAAGAATGTTCATCCATTGGGAAGTTGTGCAGCTGTAGCTGACACTCAGCATCTATTGTCAATCTGTGGAGAAATAAATATGAACATTATTGCCTTAATCATTTGTGCTGTTCATAGCTCTAGAAATTTTAATTTTGCAATTGTGAAAGCTTCAGTATATGATCCCGGAGGAGTTACAAAATCCATAAGGCTCTGGTCCTTCCAGCCATTTTCCCTAGCATGTCTTTCCCTACTATGTTTCCTAGCATGTATTTATACCCTGCCACCATCTCCCATAGCAATTTGGGATAGCTTACAAGCATGTAAAATACAATATACAGCATTGTATTTTACAGCATGTAAAATACAATATATCAACATTAAAACCAATGACTCATTTAAAACCAGATATATAAAATTAACAAGAGCAATTGAATAAATAAAATATGGCAATGGATGTTGATTAAAAGATACATACAATGAATTTAGCCTTCCCTGGCTAAAGATAGTAGTCTGGCTGCTATCTTAAACATTATCAAAGGCCTTTGATAATGTTTAAATGAGAATTGAGTGATGTTGTGTAACTTAATCAAAATTCTACAAACAAGATGGGGAACACAACAATGGTGTAATCCCATGGTCAATAATACTAAAAGAGAAGGGAGTTTCTTAAAAGGGAGATACTGACTCCGTCTACACTGCCATATAATGCAGTTTTAAATGGCATTATATGATCAGTGCAGACTCAAATAATGCAGGGAATGTGGATTATGTGAGTTTACCCTGACCATTTAATGCTATTTCAAATTGTATTATATGGTAGTGTGGATGGGGCCATTGAAGGTACCATTTCAAACAGTTCCAATAAGGAATAAAAATGGGAGGTGTCTAAAAAAATAGAGTGGATGTCTAAATAACTTTAAACTGAGCTAAGATTAAAAGGGGACATGTACAAAATAAGGGAAATGAGGAAATCATCAAAAGTAAAATTCAAGTGAATAGTCGACATTGAAAGTCTGAAAAACTAAAGCACAGAATGGGCTTAGTGTTGCTAGAGAGGTCAAAAAGAATTTAAAAGGCTTTTTAGTTATATCTTAGAAGGAGGAAATTGTAGAACCACTGCATGGAGCTACACCACAACTTCTTTGCCTTTGTCTTCTCCCAAAATAAAAACAGTGCTTAACTTGGGATAATGGAGCAAATAATGCAACAAAGATAGAGGGGTGTAAAAAATGTCTGGCTAATCTAAATGAATTCAAGTCTCCAGGGCCAGATGAACTACATTCAAGGGTATTTAAAGAACTGGAAGAAATGATCTCAAAAACACTGGCAAATAAATTTTTAAGACTCCCCAGAGGACAAGAGAAGTCCCAGTAATCTGGAGGAGGGTAACTGCTGTGCCCATCTTCAAAAAGGAAAAAAAAGACCCAAACAATTACTGCCCCAGTTAACTTGATCTGATCCATATCTCAGCTACAAAGGTAATGATAATTATATATATATCCTATGTGTCATAATGAAGGATCCCCTAATAAAATGTGTCCTAGCGTTAGAAGGTAAGCTTTATCAGTTATACTTCTCTACCCCAACCTTTCTTGGTCTGGGTGTTTTCACAGGAGAAATACCTATAATACAATTTCACCACTGATTTTCTGAAGCCTGAACCTCATTTAAAGTTTCAACCATGATATAGCCTCAGTTCTCTTAGGCTTAGGTGAAAACTTCTTTACCTATAGAAGCACTAGAATTCAAAGTTCAAATTACTCTGCTTCTGACTCAGGCTTTGAGTTTCATCCAAATCTAATACATATATCTAATTCAGTGCATATACTGGACAAAACTTAAACAGTGGTAAAAGGATACCTCAGTGTATACAGTACTCTGCCATCATTCCAGATCCGAAGCATCCGATTGGGAGTGGTTATCCAGTGAGCATCAGCCTTCTTTGAATTTCGGAAGAATGTGTCAGGTATCCATATCTTCCCAACCATGTTGCTGTTTAACCTTAGTACTTTAATAGTGCTGTTGAATCTCAGTCTTCTGTCATACCATGTTTGGGCAAAAAATATATCTATTGTATATTCCTGCAGTATTAAAATATATATCAAAATTCTGTAAGATCTCAAGAAAATCCCATTTTTCAAAATCTCTGCAATTTGGCTACATAAACTCTTTTTTAAAAACCATTTCATAGAGGAGACCAAGTTAGTTACATCAAGTAGCCAGATCCACAAAAGAACTGAAATTCTGATTTTAAGGTGACGTTTCTACTGTTGTTATATGGTTACAATGCTTTTTTCTGTTTCAGAAGCAACTTGAGAAACTGCAAGTTGCTTCTGGTGTGAGAGAATTGGCCATCTGCAAGGATGCTGCCCAGAGGACGTCCAGATGTTATACCACCCTTTGGGAGGCTTCTCTTATGCCCCCACATGAGAAGCTGGAGCTGACAGAAGGGAGCTCACCCCACTCCCCGGATTCAAACTGCCAACCTTTTGAACGATCAGCAGTGCTGCTGGCACAAAGGTTTAACCCATTTGTCACTGGGGGCTCCATGCTACAATACTAAAATAATGCAATATTTAATTACACTGTTGGTTAAGCTATTTTTTCCTAGACCTTTGCGATGTTCTACAGCAAAACAATAATTTAGCAGAGTTGTGCATCAAGCCACTTCTATGGAATTGTGATCCCCTTTACCTGGGGTGCTACTCTAACTAGCAAGCTCTTTTATAATACTATGTAGGACATCCTGCAGCACATTTTGCAATAGTTTTTCAGTGTATGTCTCTTAGAGCCTTTTCACACAGCCATATATATCCCAGAATATCAAGGCAGAAAATTCCACAATATCTGTTTTGAACTGGGTTATCTAGGGGGCATTCCACACTGCTGAATCAAATCCCACATTATCTACTTTGAACTGGAATATATGGCGGTGTGGACTCAGATAACCTAATTCAAAGCAGATATTGTGGGATTTTCTACTTTGATATTCTGAGTTTTATGGCTGTGTGGAAGGTCCCCAAGTTTACACTCAGATAATGTGGGATTTTCTGCCTTGATGTTTTGGGATATAGGACTGTGTGGAAGGGCCCTTAGAGTCTCAAACAATTTAACACAGTTTGTGGCAGCCACAAAAATGAAGCTTCTGGGGTTTCTGAAGTTTTTGCACAATTAAACAGGAAATAACACTTTCAAACCAGTAACAGAATATTTTTCAAATTTTACATTGTGTAATTCAACAGAGCTCCACTAGGCAAAATATAAAATAAAAGTAATATTTGTGATTGAATTTCCGAATAAAACAAACTAAAAGATCAGTGCTAATAACCCTAACATAGTCAGCCAACTTTTGTACTAACTAATGGAAATGCTACCAGGTAAATAAAGTTGATTAAAAGGCGACATATCTGCTCAGTTCTTAGTAGTCATCACTTCTCATCAACAGAGGCCGGTAAAATGGGGAGAAAGGCATATTTCAGCCATTCCCATGTTTTTCTGGATTCAAGCCCAATTATATATTTCACATGTAAGTATACACTGACAATCATTAACTGTACAATTCAAATATGGATAAATTTATGACCAATTTTTTACTTACCATATTGATTGCATTCACTGGGCCAATGCTATTGACATACATATCAGTATGAATAACTGTTGGCTGCACTGTAATAAAAGAAAAAACAACTGCTAATACCACTAAAAGTAAAACATCTAGACCACAGATCACATTCTTATGTATAAAATGTACATTTAAAGCAGCTCCCCTCAGTCTGTTGCCTTCCAGACCAGATTATTTAAATTTCCCACCATCCCTAAATCTGCTGCATAGGGATAATGGGTACTGTAGGCCAACCTATCAAGAGGGAAGAGTAAAGTTGATTTAAAGGAAGGAGTTCCATTTCTGTCAGATAGGTTTAAATACAAAGGTATCTACTTTAAAATATTTTGAGAGAAAGGGAGAGAAAACACTTGGGTATCTGAAATTCATGTTGTTCTGTAAGTGAAAATAATCCTGTATTATTACTTGGATTACTGCTGTAAAGAAAATTGATTTCATTTTATTCTACTACATTATTAATAATACTATAATCAAGACAATGTTTGTGCTTGAAACATATTTGGAAAGAAAGCTGGACATTTGTGTACCTATCCATGTGTGTATGCAGATGACTCTATTATATTTTTTAAAAAATATGAAAATATTTTACATTAGAAATCCTTCTTATGAAATCTCTATGGCATGAACTGCAGGAAGCACTGGAGATATAGAAAAGTTCCATCTAAAATCTATTATTACTACCAGTACTACTCTCATTATTACTCTCAATATTATAATTGGCACTGAAATGTATAAACTTGAATTATTATTCATTTACTCATTTTTAACTATAATGTTGTAAATATTGAATACTACATGTCACTAAGAAATCTAAAAAAGATCCTCAAATGTAAAGACAAATTATTAAATACATTAAAGTCAAAATCATCCATACTACAGTATTTCAGCTTTCTATAAATGGTTTTAAAAGCTAGACAGTGAAGAAAGATAACAAGAAGAAAATTAACTCATTCAATATGTGCTGCTGGAAGAGAGTTCTGTAGACTGCTAAAACTGAACAAATAAATTGGTCTAGGAGCAAATGAAATCTCAACTTTCACTAGAAGAGAAGATGACAAAGCCTTTGTGCATATGAAATAACACATGCTACTGGAAAATCAAAGTCAGCTTAATGGTAAATAAGAATATAAACAACAACAACAACAAGCCTTTGACATCACACCAAATGTCCTTTACAAAAATGTATCTGTTGTACAATAATGTAAAAAATAATTCCGAAAAGGCTATCCTTTGGACTTCCTTCTGCTAATAATGCAGAAGGGACTTCTTGAGGCAAAATGAATTGAGCAACATTGGTTGTTTCAGAACTAAAATAAATGTTTCAAAGCTTCATAACAAGACATGAGCCTTTGGAACCCTGAACCTTTTTTGTGGGTTGGATTAAAAACCATGTCCCAAGGCTAAAAGGACAAGCAAGAGAAAGATTGGAGAGAGGCAATGCAATGATTTACTTGTTTTTAATAGACTTTAGTTATTTTCAAGTCAAGATGTCTACACATAAAAGCAGTTAACTTTTGCAGTAGCATGAAAAAGTCCTGATTTTACTTCTTATGTAGTTTTTCAACACAAACATACTAAATCTGGGGTCTTCTGTGAGTGTTGATTCACTTGGGAAAAATGTAGCTTGATAAAAGGCCCACCTGACCCAAAAATATCAAGAGAAGCAGACACATTCAACTCCATAGAGCTAGCAATGATGCAATTTGTAAGTTATTTTCTGCAAGCAGAAGACAGTCAAGACTTCCTAGGACCTGGCATCTTGTCTTCTTCATTGTCATATCAAACTGTCTTCTGTAAGTAGGACTGATCAAACAAAATCAAATTGTCTTTTCAGGGTCTCTCCAATTCTGTGATGGCACTTGTTCTACTCAAACTCAACTCTTTCCAGTTCCTAAATTCCCTGTCAATCTTATTAGACCAATGTCCCAGGCTGTCTGATGTCCCAGGCTGCTTAATGACCGGTGCTGGGCTTCTCCTTTTATCTTTCATTCAAACTGAACAAGATCAACACCACAATTCCTGTTTAACATCAAACTATATTAGTGGTGATGGTGGGGAAAATGCAAACTCTGATCTGTATGTGGTCCCCAGACTTTTCTAAACTTCAAGCATCTCTGGAGTTAACCGCTTGATGAAAAAACATCAAGCAGGAACAGTGGTTCTGAGATTACATGGATCAAGGGAAGGGGACAGGCCAGAAAAGGCCTGTGAAACCAAAACTTCCAAATCAGAAATTGACATTTCTGGTTTTGTTTTTGTGTTTTTCCCTCAACATTTTTTTTTCTTTTTCAGGCTGAGTGCTACTGAAGCAAACATTGAAGATCACATTTAGTGTACAGCCTCACCAAAATTTCTCACAATTTGTTGTGTGCCCATGAAAACTTTCTATGAAAAACCCTGACTTGTGTAGCCACAGTATCCCTACAGCATAAGCTTGAAGAGGTTGTCAAGACTTACATCTGGCATTATTGCACTGTTTTCCTGATAATGCTTGAAAGCCTTTTCTGATATAATGCACTTGACTTTGTTCATGAACACTGGGTGAGGATCAACAAGAATTTTCCTTTTGTTTGGATCCCGTATTCTCTCCTTCTCCTGTCATTATATGTGTTTGTAGTTTAATAGATCTGCAATCCGGCTGTTACATCTTGTGACACATTTATTGGTGTATGGCATTCTTCACAAAGAGAGAGACTGACCTCCAGTCCGATAATGCCTGTGTACTAAGGCTTGAGTCACTTAAATCAACCATAATAGAAGTTGTGCAGTGTAGCACAACTATATTGTGAAACAATATAGTTCTAACATATTTCCCTTGCCCTTGATGTCAGACCCTTCCACACTCATAAATTCCCAGACATTGAAACAAACGATGCTTACAATTTTTTTAATCACTCCGAGCTGTAACGTTTTTTAAAAACCCAAATAAATCATGCTGATCAGAAATGTACATTTTAAACATTTATCTCATAAAATCTGGGCTATATTTGGCAATTAAAGGAAGTTTTCATTGTCAGTAGTTTATTTTATGTACATTTCAACCATTTACTTCATTATTAAGTGAAATATTTTCATCTCTTCCTTTCCTTTCTATTTCATTCTTGTTGGAAAAAAATGTAATAGTATTCTTACCTCCTATATCTGGCCTTAGCTTGTTGTCATATCCCTCCAGTAGACCATTCAAAATAAGAGTAACATCACTCTCATGGATTTTGGGGGTTAAAACCCAGGTTTTGTTGGTTGTATAATCTTCATAATCATCATCACTTTTTTGACTAGAACTATTTTTAAAAAGATAAAGAAGAGAACAATGGAGTCACATGATGGTCCAACATAGTGATTATATTCAAAGCCAACTTTATTAGAAAGCATCATTACCAGACAACTCTTTTTAAATATGGACAGCCCTGTACAAAACAGTGCAACATCTTACAGAAAGAAGCTAAAGACACAATATCACTTACTGACTGGTATTCCATTGTAGTGAATTTTCAAATGTGAGGTACAGATGTCTTTTCCTTTTTCTATCATACGAGACTTTATGAAGGTCCCCTATCTTTTTTGCTTATTGAAATTAAATGTTTCAGAACAGTCAATGTATCACCTATACAGCAGTATATATGAGATACAGATTGATGAATTGATTGATTGATTGATTGGGTTATGTCCTGCCTTTCTCTTAACATGGATCCCAAGATGCCTTACAACAAAACTATAAATCTGCAGAGAAAACTTTGTTGAATGAAATTAAATTGTCCATCATTTTAAAACATCAGTAATTAAAGCAGAAGGTATTTCTAAATTCATCATGGATGATCACTCATGGCGGAGTCTGTAAATGACTCTGAAGATGTATTCTAGATCCACATGGTCTTTCACATTGAAGACATAGATTACCAGATGGAGGGTGGTCACAACAAAGGTTTGCTTGATTTGCCTTCCTCTTGGCATATTTCTTCCTTTTCCCTGTATTCATGCCTCTTCAAAATCCATAGCACCATTGGTAACTGCTGACTTCCAATTACACTGTTGAAGTACCAGGGCTAAAATCCTTCTCCACAAGAGTAATGACCATATCTCTGTTTGTTTGTTCTTGAAAAGGGAGAGCAAAGAAGGTCTAGTCAACCCCAAGTAAAAAAGGATTTAACCACCTGAGAACAGTCGCTGAAAAGCCCCTCCTCTCATATGTCCTCACTAAATTGGCCCTTCTACACAGACAACCCATGCCAAGCCTATGTGATGTTGGCACAAGGACTCCCTTCCATTGCCTTGTGCCCACTGCCCAGCCATACTGAAGGGGTTCATTGCCCCTGGACAGCTATCCTAGGTGCCCCCCCCCCCAAATGTGTTGCAGCAGATCATATAGGGGCATAGACTGAATCTAAGCTGTACAGATCTGTATAGACCATAACCACCACATTGAAATCTGTCTAAAAATTGGTAGCAAGTATAATTGTCTCAACAGGAGAGTTGTATGTTCCCTGCAACCTGACCCAGTAAGTCTTCTAGCTGCACCATTTTGGACCCACTGAATTTTCCACACAGTTGTGATAGGGAGCCCCACATTCAGTGTTACAATGATCCAAACAGGTTGTAACTAAGGCATGTGTCATGGTAGCCAGGGCTGACATAACTAGCAGTGAGTATAACTGGTCCACTAGTTTTAACTGTACAAATTTTCTTCTGGCCACCACCGAACCCTGAGCATCCAAGTTGACGTAAATTGAAGTATACACATACAATGCCTTCAAATTCTGTAGAAACCAAACCATCACTAGCATTAGTTCCCATAGTTCTTAATTCAAACTACAACAGATTATTCATTAACTGGCACCCATGGGGATTGGTAGATGCTGAATAAATGTAGTTTCTGGTTGCTTGAGAGTTACTATTAAATACTGTATCCTATACTATGCTGTACCATAAACTCTGTATTGACTTGATATTAATATTGAAATACAGTAATTAGAAGCAAATTAAGACAAACAGAGAACAATTGGACTTAACGTAACACATGTTTACTGTATAATAAAAACTGCTTTGTAAATGCAATATGCAATTTTATTTTTTTAAAAAATGGCTGGTTGCTTGACTTACAGTTAACTGAGAGTCTACTGTATTGGGATTAATTTATGCTGATATAAGCTCACAACTCTCTCCTTCAAGGTACGAAAGAAAAAGCATTTCTGGTTTTAACACATTTTACCTTTAAAAACCTTCCTGTGTTTTTTTCATATTGTAGGATATGTTAGCCCTATGTTTCATAGCATAGTAGAACATCCTCGGAATCTAGTATGGGAATTTTAAAATCTCTATAATGGCTTAGCAATGGCTTAGATATTCTCTAAAATATCTCTTGGTTGACCCTTTGTTATTTCGCTATCATGCTTGCCAAAGTGTCATTGCTCAGGCACCTCGCAGCCACAACACAGCATATAATGAGCTTTCCTTGTTTTATTGACTATCAAAAATGAGGTTTGTTAATTAGCATTGTGCTACACCACATGCATCTAGGTACAATCAAACAGGGGCACTAATAATTAAACTGGTGAGGTAAGCAGGTTTGTAAAGCTGTCTGCAATTCCAACCAACTAATCGCATCTCTAATAGACAAATCACACTGTCTCTGAAGCTCCAGCCCACAGATTGGGAATGATGCCTTCTCTGAACATAGTTAACTGAATAATAATTTGCACCTCATAGGAAACTTAGGAGAAACATCATTGGTTACCTGAGTTTTCTCAGAAAAGATTGCTTAACCTCTTTTCCAGCAGAGCTAGTTCTGGATTCAAATGGCAGATTTGCTTGTTCAAATGCACATAGGATTCTAATCGAAGCAGTTTCATAATGATGGAGAAAATTGATTGTGTGTGTAGAAATATGAAAAATATTTCTAAATTCCTCATCTTTGCTGAAAAAGAATATCATATTCATTCCAATGGGGGAAAAGAAAATGTAATTTCTAGATTTTAGGAGGGAAATTGCATGATTTTTTATGCAACAAAGGTTGTTTATGTACTAAAACAAAATTATGTAATATTTTTTGTGCCTGAAATATTGTATTTCTCACAGAGATCAGGAGGGCAACCTGACAGATTTACAGTGGCACAAGTTCAACTTAACATCATCATAAGTATCTTCTTCCCCCTTTGGTTACTGCAGTAGTCAGAATTCTTAATAAACCTCACAAAATGATTAAAATATTCCCTGGCCTCATTTTTTAACTGCTGCAGTTCCTATTCCATGTTTACTGGATTGTCAGTATCAAGCAGGAAGGCACTAGAAAAGTGTCTGACTACGTGATGGTGACTGCTAGGACTTACAGATGAATCTGAAAGGTCCTCAAGAATAATGTCAGATATGTGAATATGAAGTAAAATTGGTACAAATTAAACAAACATTTGCACGGATTGATCTCTGTGTTATGTACCCCAACCACTTAAAAACACATACTAGGATAGATTTTTTTAAAAATTGTGTTGTACATTTGTTTGTTTGTTTTTTAAAAAAATGTACATTGCAGGTAGCAGAAATCTGGGGTCACTGCTTTCAGTTCCACATAGATACTATAAAAATTAATCTGGAGTACATGGATATAATTATTTAATAGCTGCTTCTCATAAGAATCAACATATAATTTTAACATGTATTGTTGAAGGCTTTCATGGCCGGAATCACTGGGTTGTTGTAGGTTTTTTTGGGCTATATGGCTATGTTCTAGAGGCATTCTCTCCTGACGTTTCACCTGCATCTATGGCAAGCATCCTCAGATGTAGTGAGGTGACAAAACAAATTATTACATAATTTTGTTTTAGTACATAAACAACCTTTGTTGCATCTCACTACCTCTGAGGATGCTTGCCATAGATGTAGGCGAAATGTCAGGAGAAAATGCTTCTAGAACATGGCCATATAGCCCAAAAAAACCTACAACAACCCATAATTTTAACAATTTTATTTTCATTGTAAGACAGTATTTCAAAGCTACACAGTTTTGAAAGCCTGTTTTCTGTTTTGTCCAAAAATGAAGACAGCTTTGCATAAAAATCAGCATGTGCTATGTAGAAAAATTGTTATGTGGACAGAAAATTCAATTTCCCCACCAAAAAATGTTGTTTTCTACCATATGTAAATTTTACATATAATAAATCACCAATTACAGTATTGTGTACATGGCACTGCATTTTCTGGGTAGGAAATATTATTTCTGTATATTGATATATCATTTTCTGCATAGAAAAGTTTGCTTGAATAGTTTGTTTGTTTGTTGCACAGAAAATGTGAGTTTCTGCACAAAATAACCACAGACCTCATATGTGATTTTTACTCAGAATACATCCTGAACTTTAAAATTTTTATTAATCCCGGATTTTTCTTGTCAAGGTTTCTCAAAGGTCAAAACTCATGTTTTTCAAACATTTTTCAAATCTTTCATAAATACTTTTCATCCCTGCTGGAAGACTAAAGTGGATGATGGTTAAATGTGAAGTTTTTCCTGGCTGAATACTAAGAAATATGTTTGTTTTCATCAATTCTTTAAAAATGACTTGATCTGAAATTTCAGCCTAGAGAGCACCCTGCTGCATCTGCCTGATGTGTGCATGGTTAAAGCTGATGACTTAAAACAAGGTTACATATTAACTTACACTAGACTGGGCTGCAGGTTAGTTTGTCAAATTGGAATGTCCAACCTTATAAATCCAGAGGATATCTTAAATTGCCAATAAAATATCCATACACCTTTTCCAATATAAATGATTTGTGTGATTACAGGTTGGAAAACTACTCTTTTTTTCACATACTTGTTGACTTTGTGTAATAGTTGCACCCCCATTTTTTGGGGTTCCAATTTTGGTGTTTCTTTTTTCCTTGCACAATAGTCATAGCCTTGATTTATCTCTGAAAGCCTCCATTTGATCACCCATCCACCCAAAGGCCCATGCACCTGCTTCACTCATGTGCCCATCAGCTCACCCATCTGCCCGCCCATTTTCCCACCCAAAGACCCACCCTCCCACCAACTCGTGCATGCACTCTCTCACTTGGTTGCCCATCAATTCACTGATCATTCCCTTCCAAGAATGGCACTTCAAGCAGATTTTTCCTTGCATAACTGTCATATCCCTTTTTTAAAAAAAAGAAGGGGGAAAAGTGTCAACTACTATGCGATGAAATATGGTATACTTGAATCTTCTGTTTGAAATACATAAATTTGCCAATTAGGCCTTTAGTGATGAAATACTGAATGGACACGCTATTGTTTGTATTATATCAAACTTCT